GGTTTTTCTCAGTGAAATGATAATTAAGGAACTTTGGATAGGCAGTGTCAAAATTTTCGTTTTCTGTAGTAAGTAAGTACCTGGGTCTCAGCATTCGACTGTGCTGGCAAACGTTTCTCTGTTAGTGGTGGATGTTCATTGGGATTTGGACGAGTCAACAGCACCAAACAATATACGAGAAAAGTTAAGTTATCACAGACAAATGATTGATCATATAATTAATTAATTCGGAGGCCCCTAGGTTTTATTGTCAAGTCGAGTCATGTGAGAACATCCCGTGCTAGCTTCCTTCAGGTTCCTCGTCACAAAACTTACCTGAGACTCGCCATACTGTAATATTCCCATCTTATGCTCGGTCTTCCAAGTGACCGTCTTCCAATTTGACGAAAATAAAACCAGGTCTCGGGACATGCAAATTAAATATACCACGGACAGCAGTCGATCTGCAACATCATTACGGTGTAAGGGAATGTAAAAACGTTCTTCAGATAATAGGCAATGTGTAACACAATCGAGGTGTTAACAGACGATTAATCGAGTCATCTAGAAACCGCTGTTACTTCGAACACGGAAAACTTTGCTGACTCAACGTAACAGCCACCTAGCGGCATGCTTAGTAAACACTATGGAGCGATCTCGTAACGCGACGCGGATGCTGTGTGGAATGAACAGGAGTGGGTAAAATAGGATCCGTTTGTCAGATGTGGCATCCACGGGCCAGTCTTGTTTATTTGAGCAGATGGTCACTTGTCAGCCGTGAGGAACATGACCGGTCACACAAAACCCCTTGATTTGCTGCAGCCCTGCTCTACCGCGCCCCGGAGTTACTTCGGGCGAGTCAACTCGACCCGCTGAGTGTCGTGACGGGCTCTCAGAAAGGGGACGTTTACTCCTTTGGAGTCGTCCTGTATGAGCTGCACGCCAGACACGGGCCCTTTGGGGAGCCCAGCCTCACGCCAACCGAGGTCCTGCTACGGGTGATCCGACCGGAACCCGACCAGCCCCCGTTCAGGTATACTGATAACCTTATCTGCAGGGTTGGAGCCTCGGCTCCAGGCTACCGAGAAAGTCCCACCTGCTCTGGTAAAATTCTTCGAATCCAGTGCCCTAAGACATGTTTAGTCCCTTCATTTGTTTTCTTTCTTTCTTCATTCCTCTCCTGTCTGCCATCTTTTATTTTTCGTTCTGTCTTTCAAAAAATGGTTTATGTTACAGTCAGTCACAATAACAAATATCAAATATAATTTTATAAATAAATATTGATACCAAATAAAGCTGTCAAAGTACTGAATACATATTCTAATTGTAATTTTTATTTATTTTATGTAAAACTAACTTTGACTTAATTGATTACGGTTTACGTATATTTCGAAAATATTATCAAAACTTATAATATCGATATATCTGTCCAGTAAAAGGACTTTCATCTGATTATGGATCTTTGCTATTACTTAATACACGAGATGCAGCGTAATCTTACCAAAAAAAAAGTTCTGAATCACATATATTTCTTTTAAAATTTGGCGATACACAAATATTAATGCGATATCAACACTGAAATATTCTTGGCTTTTGCACAATTATTTTTGCCTACTTTCTCATACACCCTTATCTGTGAGAATTTTTGCGACATCCGGTATACGACTGAAGCTGGTTTTTGTTATGACTCATCCCAAGACCGCAGCTGGAGCTCTTGGAGAACAGCTTCAACTTCGTACGCGACTGCCTCGTGGAATGCTGGGCAGAAAATCCGGAAGACCGCCCCGACTTCAAGACGATCAGAACCAAACTTCGTCCCCTCAGGAAGGGCATGTGAGTAGACCACTGTACTCCCACCTCAAACAGCTGGAAGGTGAGACCAACTGACACTTCGAAGGCGTTCTTCACGCCACATAAACAAGATAATTGTTGCACTAATGCGAATATATTTGCGCTTGTTTATACGCACGTGTATAATCGCAATCTCACTCCAATGTATAAGACGTAAGATATCCCTTCTGTGAATTTTACTTGTCAGAGGTAAAATTTAAGAATATTATAAGCCATTGGAAATGCTTTCAGGAAACCAAACATTTTCGACAACATGATGGCGATGATGGAAAAATACGCCAACAACCTGGAAGCCTTAGTGGATGAACGCACTGATCAACTAGTCGAAGAGAAGAAAAAGACAGGTGTGGTAATAATACTTACCGCTTTGTATCCCTGCCTCCAGAAACTTCAGATACCGCGGTTCCGTGCTAAATTGGAGAGAGTAAAGCTTAAAGGTCACGTGGATGTCGTTATACCAAGCAGATTACTGCAGCAGTGACACTTTTAACATTACGAAATCATGCGGTTAAAATATCGGTCGTCTTATGGACCATCGTGATTTAGGAAGTTCGTGATTTTCCTCAATTTATGCGCTCGGACGCTGGAAAAGTATCGATAAATAGGAAACAGTTGCGTCATTACAAATCTAAGCATTCTAGTCTGTGGAATTATAACAGGCTCCGACCACTTTATGTCCATTGGCGCTGAATGGACGTTGCGGCAGTCTGGTAAACACAACACACGGAAATCAAGGTTTTTTTTTGGGGACATTCTGTATTCAGTATCTTAACTGTTCCGTGTCTGTCCAACAGAGGCGCTGCTGTACGAGATGCTCCCGCGCTACGTGGCAGAACAGCTTAAGCGCGGAAACAAAGTAGAAGCAGAGAGTTTCGACTGTGTCACGATCTTCTTTAGTGACATAGTGGGCTTCACCGCCATGTCGGCCGAGAGCACACCATTGCAGGTGCGTCTTCAAGTCCCAGAACCAGTCTGGATATTGCAGCAATGTTAAAGTCTAGCCTACTCTGGTCACCGGAGTAATGACTTATCGCCCTGATGAAGGAGGCAAAAATCACCTCCGAAACGTCAGTATACTCTGGTGCAGTGGCCTGGAAGGTTGTCGTATTCAGACATTAAGATACTTAATTTGTGATTGACGAACTGGAAGTTGTTCGGTTTGATCCCAGAACCGTTCAAATACTAAACTTTAATGATAAGTGTCAGATGACAGAATCGAAATGATCACTGGAGCACAGCCAGCCTTTAAAATAGACGGTCGTCTTCTGAGTTCTTGGTCCTTGGAGTACGGTGTTTCAGAATCCCCTGCTGCCTCCATCTTCAGGGCTATAATAAGACGGACCCTGTCCATCGTACAGTGTGTGAATCGACAGTTGCCTTAAAGCGATTCATAGACGCATTCGATATTTCAGGTCGTGGACTTTCTGAACGATCTCTACACGTGTTTCGACTCTACCATTGAGAATTACGACGTCTACAAAGTCGAGACGATCGGAGACGCCTACATGGTGGTGAGTAGACACGACGCACTGGTCCTCCCGATGACAGAAATCAATTTTTTTTACGAATAGAGAGTCTAGCGGGGATCTATAATGAATGGAACGTAACTCACTTGAAGGTACTACCTCGGAGTCTTGTATATTGATTCTTGGGTTATTTAACAACGCTGTCTCAATTGTAGAAGTTAAATTTTAATACGAAAGGTAAGTATAAAATCTTGTATGTCGGTGGGGATAGAAGCCTTTATGTTTAGACACCAGGGGTTTCCAAATTTTCTGACAAATGGGACACTTACTTAAAAGGGTCTATGCGCTGTGGACAGTCTACCAAGGTCAAATTTTTAACAAAAGCACCCTGAATATCAGAGTGTTCTCCATTAAAGACGGATTGAGGAATTATTTGGGTAAATTAATTGTTGTTTTCGAGCCAGCATCCGTCTCGCGGGCCGTACTTTGGATATCCCTGTTGTAACCGTAAGTCAGCCGCCTACTGGGAAGTTAAACTTATCGTAGGATCCACTCAAGTGTTAATATAGTTTTGGTCATATATTTTCTTTCACGAGACAAGATGTGGTTTGTTGATTCAGTCTTTATTTGTTTAAAAACGCTGTTTCAACTCGCTAGGTCACGTAAAGTCGTGAAAGGTTAATTAGTGAAACAAATATTTGACAGGCGGTAGAAAAAATCGGTCGTGGCCTATTTTGTATTATTTTCTCACGCAAAGCCTCAAACAATCCGCTTTTTTCTCCGAGTTTCGAACACGGAGCGTTTCAGATGCGAGGCGTGAGCGCTGATGTTGGTCAGAACCGAAAGCCGCTGAGGAATTCTGATCAGAGAGTTCTAAGGCAGCGGCATCTCTTGGCCAGGAGATTCAATCAGCTGTCTCCTAAGACGAGCACTCATAAGTCAAGCGAAGTGCGACCTTGCGGTCCAAAAAAAACAACTCATTCCCTATCTGTGATGACAACGGACGGCGAATTGAGTAGTCGCTGTGGAAAGTTTAAATGGAAAAACTTCGTGCTTCTTTTTTTGTTGTTCAGAAATTTAACAGATTTACTACATCTTATTTCTAAATTCTTATCTAATGCTTCTTAATTAAAGAAAACTTTCAGAATGGAGTTGGAAGATTTTTTTTTATTCTAGTAATAGAGAAGCAATTTTCTTGGGGGTTTATTGGGAATTGATAAACTTGTAATTTTATACCAAAATTAAAAATATCTCCGTTTAAAATCATTTAGTTCATTCTACAAGGTTCAAATTATGTTTGTTTATTAATTGGCTTGTAACTCGAGAACGGATTTACCAATTTAAACTTTAGAATTTTCATTTTTATTTTAAATAGGCTATACTGTGACTCTGTAGATTGAACTAGAATAAGCATCACTGCGTCGATAATTGTTTTAAAGACTCATCTATGCTGCTTCCATCATCAGGATGTCCATGATAATGGAAGCAGAAACCACCTCCGAAACGTCAATAAACATCTATCAGACAACACAGCACGACACAATATCGCCACTGTCAGAACCTGAAATCTCGCCAATTTTTTTTTTTTTTTGTAAGTTTGTCGGAACGTTTGAGAAATTAAACGCCATAGTCTTTCGTGGTAGACTACACGTTGCACCGCTGTGTTGAAGATGTTGCCGCTAGTGCACGGCGACTGCTAATCTGTTCCGTTCTGTGTTCGTCTGTCTTCTACGAGTGCACTAAAATCCCTCCTCCTGTGTATTTAAGGGGAAATTTATTTTGTGCTACCAACTTGATATCTGTGTCTTTGAGATCTAACAAAGTTGAAGCAACAAAAGTTAGAGAAAAATGCAATTTGTGAAACTTCATAATTTTACACTTTTCAGCCGTTGATTCTCTTTTTGATCTGTTATCAGATTTGCTGTCAGCTTCTCACTAAGGGCTCTGCCCCATTTGGTTAGTTCTTACAGAATAGTCTGTGTTGAGCCTACGCAATTATGTTTATTTATATTTCGTAGCTTTACTCAGTCCCTCCCTTATTTTCTGGATATACACCGCAAACATTTGCTTTAAACTCCCCGTAAATCATAATTTAGAATTGAATATTGCAAAACCTATGCAGTTGCAAATGTGTCGTTAAACACAAAGCAACTCGACATTACATTATGGCTTTTATTTAAATTCCACACGTGACTCGACATTTTCGAACCGTGTCCGCGTATGATAGGATTACGGAACAAGCGTAATATTGGTGTTGTGGGTGATTAATAGCTCATCACCATAGAAGCAGAGTAGAGTATGTGACGTCATCAGAACTTATCATCTGAGGCCATTTATCAAAATGTCCAAGCACGTTATTGAGTTACTAGCCATGACGATTAATTATCTGATAACACGCAGTTGATAAGGTGACGCAAACACTTGCACTGAGTTGTAATTAAACATGGAACTGAAGTAGCAATGCAAACAGAAACCAGTAATTGGATCGACGGAACGGAACACAAGTATTGGTCTTCTGGCTCTTTGAAGTCCATATGAACGTGTCAGGAAGCTCTGCGCAGTTACGGATCAAAATTCTGCCTGCATTTTTTGTCTCCCGCCTCCAAATCACATGACCAGCCCAATTCATTGTCATAGATTTCAATAAAGTTTGGTACATGGTGTTTCTCTTTGGGTAATAATTTGCGGACCCCCAGTGGTCAGCGAACCACCTGTTGAGAAACACTGTCACTTTTTGGTGCCGGCGAATTAAAGTTTCCCTTAAACTACCCAAATTCTGACGTAGGGCTGGTACGTCTTTATTGTAACATCGAGCTGGGATTGATCGGGGTTTTTTAGAGCGTTTTGTCTGGCTGATCTTTCCCGTTCCTGGGAAGACGATTCCCGAGGGATGACGCGTGGCCTTAGTTCTGTTGTCTCCGCAGGTTAGCGGACTGCCCGTCCGGAACGGAATTCAGCACGCAGGCGAGATAGCATCAATGTCACTTCAGCTCCTGGAGGCGGTAAAGAGGTTCTATATTCGCCACCGGCCCACAGACAACTTGATGTTACGAATCGGCATACACTCGGGTAAGCTGCTTCTGTCCCTCGTCTTATGGGGGCTTCACCCCAAAGTGCCCTAAAGAGATAATGAAAAGAAACCTCAGCCTAGAAACCGCAAAACAACACAAGCAAATTTAGTCTAAAGAGTTCTCTTGACACAGATAGACGCCAAAGCTAGCCTAAGTAATACTTAATAATTCAGCCCGTACCGCGAAGAAAACACTACACTTCACCATTACTACGATCAACTGGTTAACGCTGTTTAAGGAAATAATCTCTGTTTATTATGGGAATCTTACGAAACACATAAATACAAAATGAAGAGTTATTGGCTCTTGAAATAAATGGTACATATAGTTACCACTAGGTATTCAGGTAAAATAGAGGGGACAAGGGGTTCTTACTCTGCGGGGTCCCTTAGAAGAATCTAGTCTCCATCCCTGGACGGAGACAAAATTTTAGCCACAAAGTATTACAGTCCACCATCGTTGATAACCTTTTTGAATGATGTTTTGTCGGGGTCATCTCCGTGCTTGACGAAAAAGTGTTACCCTGTGCAGGTCCGGTCTGCGCCGGTGTTGTCGGCCTCAAGATGCCACGTTACTGCCTCTTCGGCGACACTGTCAACACAGCCAGCCGCATGGAGTCGACGGGCGCACGTGAGTATATCAACACATTCACGAATTTGTTCCCCGCAAGTGACGTCTGCTTCAAATACAGATCTCGAAATGTGTGTCTGCGCAGCGCTGAAGGTCCACTGCAGCTCAGAGTGCAAGGATTTGCTGGACCGTGTGGGCGGCTACATCGTGGCCGAACGAGGAATTGTCCGCATGAAGGGCAAGGGAGATCAACGCACTTACTGGCTGCTGGGGGAGGACCCGGTGCACCGAGAACGTCGCTCTGAACAGAGGTCACGATTCTGGCGTAAATCGAGGACTCTCCCGGACAGCAACGGCTACCCTTGTGGCATCGGTCCACGGAGTTCTCTGAAGAACAGGCCCGCAGCTGCTCTTCCCCTCGCCCGTTGCCTCAGCCTAGAATCTCCAAAACGACTTCGTTTCGCCAGCGGGAATTTGCTTGAACTGCATCGGTACCAAAGAGACCCGCTACTGGAAGCCATAACAGACGACAGCCCCTGCAAGACGACTGCACCGCGTCTCCTTGAATCAGAGCGTTGCAGCTCATCTTGCCCCTGCATCAAGGTGCTGCCTCCAAGTATCAACTGCAAGAATAATAGTGTTCCCGTGCTGTTTCCCGCGGTCTCCAGTTCGGCTCCCGCGAGCCCCTTCAGCGATAGTGTTACCATCACGTCGTCCCCCTCTACCCCTCACCACGAAGGTGAGGAAGGCAGTTTCCTCTGTGACGAACTTGACAAACCCCTCCTGGAAACTACTGCAGAGGATGGTCTCCTTACTGACAGAGAGACGCCGGTCTAAAGGACGATGGAGCTAAGCCGATGAGCTCGTGGTGTAGACAAAGACAGACGATGTTTTGAGATGGCTTCCAGTCAGACACGTCATACATTGTTCTTCCAAGGACATGACGCGGTCGATTATGTTATCATGGATTTTTTCATAATTATTGTCGTATTATTTAGTGCCATATAATTTTCCGTGTTTGCCGTAAACTCAAAACTACGTTCACCGACAGTGGAACCTGATTGCAGAATGTTTTCGTGTTAGAGTAAGCGTGCAGAAACAGCAGCGAAGCCTGATTGCCATTGGATAGTTTCTCTGTCACGTGACATACAACACGAAATTTGTAGCCTGTGAAACAAAAGACGATTATGTCATGTGAAGACGGATGGATGTAAGAAATTGTTGCGTGAGAAGGACCACGTGATATGATTCTTTGTGTGTCTGACGATAAATTAAAACGTGGGAGTGCCTGGGCTGAAATATCCGTACAGGACTGAGAGTTGGTGTTCTCAGGGAATTTTATACGCGCCTCCGCGTACAGATTAATTTCCATCTGACTTTTTTTTTTTACACAAACGATAATTATGATTTAAGTAACACGATATATTAATGGAGACGACATTGCGTAAGTTCGTGACGTCAGGAACACGCACTGATCAAATGAACGTTAAGTCATCGAAGATATGTCCACCAATAACAGACTTACAGCAAGTTACAACACGGTGAATATTCCGACATACCATGTAAGTACCTGATTTGCAATTATAATTTTACAATCTTTCTGTTATCGTAACAAAGAAAAGAAAATTTAAACGGTGTAATTGTTCGCTGTTTTGAATGTAAATTGAAAATCTGAATGAAAAAAAAAAACTGTAGCAGCGAAATCTACCGCACAGAGGCAGAACTAACAAGGGAGTAGGATTAGGGCACCTGATGTTAAGGGTTCACGTACTCTGCAGTCAGAAATTCCCTGGATTTTAAAACAAATTTACCGACTTCAGCTATTTTAAAACGAGTACGAATTTCGAACGAAGTGAAAGGATGAACTTGGAATGCACACAACTAGGACGAGTGTAAAAATACAATATACAGATGTCATAAATGATCCTGTCACAGTCTTCTTTTTACAAATTAAGAGGAGGAAACGAGAGATCACCCAGGCGTTGTTAGCCAATTAGTAGAGGCTTACACTGTGCGAGAGTCTGGCAGGCTGGAACTGCCACTGAAGCACAAATTGAGACAAAAGATTTTTTTATTTTTCGCTTTTCTTTCAAATTGTTAGCCGGGCTAACGCGGTTAACGTGGGCCCTCGACTCCTAGAACAGACAAAAAATCCATCGTAAAGTTAATCGATGCAAGGAACGCCTGGCAGAGACGCGAGATTGCATTGTGTGTGACGGGTGTCGGAACCGGAGGGTTGAGTTCTGAGCCGAGCTGTCCTAAATCACTGTGGAACAATACAGACGAGTTTAATTACGTTGTCAGACGTTCACGTGACGGGCAATTAGCACTTTCGATGCGATTTATACGGGCGACGCCCCTCTGACATTAATGGCGCGTCGTAATTAATGCTGGGGGCAGTGGAACTTGATAGCCACGCCAAACCACGCCGCTTTGAGCCGCGTTCAGACTTCGGCAATTTTAGACGTGATCGGGGTGAGAGTGGTCAGGCTAGCCAACTAACACGCTAATAAACTAAGTAGGTTTTAAGACTTTAGTTACCTACACAAGAATATAACTTATTAACAACTTAATTCTTCAATTTCATTAAAAAATATTCTTGGATATTATCCATCGTCTAGTAAATAAAATATAAAACGTAAAACGACGTTTCGGAGATGGGGCTCTATCTCCGAAACGTTATTTTATTTACTAGACGATGGATAATATCCAAGAAAATTTTTATTCAATTGACTCTTCACCATCGTCAAGAAGTTTTAGATTTAATTCTTCACCTTCAGACCTGAAGATCTTTTAAAATATTTTTGGTCAGTGCAAACAGCAGATATCAGTGATCTTCATAATCGCCTCAGAACCTGAAATCTCACCAATTGATGGTAAATATCTGGCCTTCAGTCGTTTCAGAACACACCGACTCACAAGTCGAACGAAAAATTATTTCCGATTCCGATCTAGTAGCCCAAATGATGCATGTTTCTTTACCTCCAAGCCCTCCACACTCCTTCATGACGTACGTGCGTGGTGTTGAAACGAGTGTTAATCTTCAACATCCATTCCAGTGGGCATTGTCTGTGACCGCCCTGTTTGCCTGCCTAGGCGTCGTAAGACTGTAATCAGTGAAGTGCCCTGTCTTGAATTTCCTGTTATTTTACTTTGTGGAGTGATGAATTGATGACAGTAGGGTGCTGGGAGAAGGGAAAATAATTAAGAGTGGATGATGCCGTCAGCCTACCGCCTTTCTCTAGGACCGATAGTGTTTTGTCGAACAGCGGAGTGCCGAGATGGTAATCGGTCGCGTGTGATGCTGGCAACGGAGAAATATTGGTCTTGATCAACAGGTGGAAACGAGGAAAGGATGTAGAGAACAGAACACGAAAAATAAAAAATTATGTGGTAATTTAATCACAAATCAATGTCACAGAAAATAGTTTTGACCGGATCGTTGTTAGCAGCACAGAAGTGTAGTATTAAGATGGCCGACTTACTTAAATCCTACAAAATGTGGTAGTGATAATGGGACATCTTATGAAATACAGGTGCGTAGATATTATTTTCGTGGTAAATTATTTTACAATTCGACAGCCACTGAAATAATAATGAAAGTCAGGAACGAGGTAAATTTTTTAGGGAAATTCGATGTCGTACATCGGATAAGATTTTTACTGGGTTACAAAGTTCAGATGTGCTTTCCTGTTTCCGGCGTTGAACATTGAATTACAAACACCAGGCGTTTTGTAAGTTTAGTTGTTATATCTTTTAGCTAATTAATTATTTTTTATATTAATGTTATCATGTGGGTTATTGTGCAATATTTTAGTTGAATACCACAGTTTTGAAGGAACGTGCTGCCTCAATATTAATTATTGAAGTGAAAACCTACAGCAGTTATTTGATTAATTGAATGAATTGATTGAATTGTTATTAACGTTCTTGCTAGTTAGTGACTTCGATTGTCAGATGGCTTGTTAGTAGAATGATTATTTAGTTTGTATGATAATTATATAATTGCTTTGCTCAGTAAGTTGCTTAGTGGCGAGTTAATTTCATTGTTAGTTTTTATATATTTAATGGAATAAACATACTTTTGTGGCTGTGAAGTTTCCCAGGCAATGCCCAGTCGTCCTTCTGGTAAAAAAAAATTTCTTTATCAGTGAACGCAATGTTTTTACCGCAGTGTTTTAAGGGGTTGAGCAATGATTTGGTGTTTTAAAATCAGTTAAAACCAGCGTTTCAAAAGATGGACATTCGTATTTCGGCATAAAAATATGTTATTCTGGTCCGTATAAAATTTTTCTCTAGCTGTTTTGTTATTCAGATATTCGTCTGCAATTCGATTGTATTTGTTTGTCTGGTTGGACTACAATTCCGATGTAGTAATGAACTTCGTTACTAGATGTCGCAACACTCGCATCTAGTTTAGAAATGTCCACGAGTGGCAGCAGCTGTGGCCCCCGAACTTTACCGAGTTGCACAGTCGGGTTTTAGTGTGTCATGTTGATGACTGCTTGGTGCTTGTAGTTTGAGGAAAGTTAGCGACAGTTTTGTTTGTGTGTCGACATAGGGAATGTGATGTTGGTTCGTTGTTAGATGATCCAACATGTGGTGAAAGCGGATAGTCTTTCGGCCACCATTGCTAACAGCTTTTAACCGTGTATAATATTCGGTCTTCTAGCAGTAATTCCGTTTGTGTTTTGTGTTGCCCAGGTTTTTTGTTTGGCACGTGTGTTTGAGTAATTTTACACAGGAGGGCGTGAAGTGTTGCTGCCTAAGTAGAGATGGTGTCGCTGGGTAAATAAAAACATGGACCGACGATCGGTGTTTCATTGTTGGTTAAATATATGCCGTTTGCTTTCCTTAATTACTTTTGGCTCGTGTGTTGGTGAAGTTTTATCTGGAGCATACTAAAAGGACAAAGTCATATCATTTGTTTTTCACTAGCCTTCTGAAACACCACACACTTTCTCGCATGGATTAGTGTTGGCAACGCATGCCAAAGCTTGCTTAAAGTGGCATGGGTTTGACCTTAATGACGACATAAGAACGTTGTTTGTTCATAAGGCTCAGTACGTGTTATGTGTCTGTGTGGATTCCAGTGTTTATGGTGATTCTGTTGTGACCATGGACTTCCAGCAGTTTTGTGACTAGTCAGTAGGACCAAAATATCTTTCTTGTGTTTTTGTGCGTCATCAGGAACTCTTAGTAAGTGTTAGAAGAACTTACCACTTCGTTTGGACGCATGGTAAGTAAGTCTCTGCATGCATGTGAATTATGTCGCCATTCCACTGTGGTCTGAATATTTATTGCTTGCTTTTGTAATGGTAATATAGTCGAGAATTTTATAACGTAGGATTTATCTCTTTTAGAACTAAGTTCTTTGGAAGAAACCATTTATATTTTGTGTAGTGATGCTCTTTTTTTTACAAAAAAGAGTAATGGAGTCGTTATTCATAAAAACAGTTTATTAGTTTTGTCGTGTTCTCCTGTCCGCCTTGCTTCTCTTCTTCATTCATTATCTCCTTTTGGTCTTTTCCTTTTGAATTTATTTCCGCATTATCATTTCGTTTTACATCTGTCAATCACTGTCCTATTATTGCGCCATTTCAGAACCAGCCCTGCTGTGAATTTGCCACCCGAGTTCCCCCACGGTCTCTGAAGCTTTGACTTAATAATTTAACAGTTATTTTTGTGTGTTATATGCATAAAATCCGTCGATTATGTCGGATGTGTGGCTTTATATGCGTGTTTAACGTCTAAAGTTGTCTGGGTACTTGATTTTCGTTTCTCACCGAATCAGTACATTCGGGTTTTCTTTTTGCGTGTTACTCTAATAGAAGTTTAGAAGTGTTCTTAAAACCGGTTATTGTATAGAAACTTGATAAATGACATAAATATAATTAGTCTGTATATATAATTGAACGTTCAGAGTATTTAACCAGATCAAATTAAAATAAGTTTTGCCTTCGCACAGTATATCCATGGCTGCTTTGTAACAGGTGGATTTGTATCTGCAATGAATGTGCATCCAGAGCAGTGAAAACGCGAAGAACGTAGTGACCCCACACTTTTCTTTTTAAGATTAAGGCGCAAAAATCATAATTTGCTCGAAAATGTGTCTGTAAATACAATGTTTAAATCTCACGTATTTGCAGAGTTGCTTCCGAAACAATACAGCATCGGTTAAATGACCCAGAGTTGCCAGACGACAGTCAATTGTTCCTCTGAACAGGTACTACATTCACACGTGTCTGTAACTAATTGTGTGCAATTTTTTTTCATTGGCACTTTTACTATGTTTTCCTGATTCCATTTCTTTTGTTGTATCTTACGTAAAATGTCTTTGGTTTGACTTTTATGCTTCTGAGTATTGCTCTGCTACTGATTTTCTAGTTAAAATGCTTTATTATTTGTTTGAAGTTGTGTCTTTGTTGGCCTGAGTTAAGTGTAACATGTTTGTCCAAAGCACGAATTTCTGTATTGTCAGAGGTCCAGTTGAGGGCTTTTCTGAACACGGTAATGAACCTTCGAGTCCGATAAAACACGGAGAATTTCTTGACGAGCTGAGTACCGTCAGCTTCTTATGAAGGCCTTGAAAATTGTGATTCCGTTTGGCTGAAACCAACAATCACCAGCGTTTAAGTTTGTCTTTATGGTTTCGTTTGATTCTCAGTACCAACAGCAGTTATGTCTTTAAACAGCGTTAACCAGTTGATCGTAGTAATGGTCAAGTGTCGTGTTTTCTTCGCGGTACGGGCTGAATTATTAAGTATTACTTAGGCTAGCTTTGGCGTCTACGTAAATTTTTCTTTTGCTTATGGATTATCGGTGTCAAGAGAACTCTTTAGACTAAATTTGCTTGTTTTGCATGCGGATTCTAGGTTAATGTTTTCAGTTATGGTGTGGAGTTACGCCAGGACAGTTTTGCTAAGAAGAACTGGTTACATAACTTCTCAGTTACTGCTGTCGAACAACGTGAAGTTAACACTGACTCACATATGACAAGTCTAAAACGTCGTATCATAGCCGGTTTTAAATAGCGCGTAATGTGTCCTGACCACGACAATTGTACGGGGAAGTACCGTGGTATGGATTTTTTTAAAAAAATAATCTTAATGATATGTTCTTACGCCATAAGACTGTGCCAGCTTGCAACCATGTTTATGTTATGTGTGTGACATTTCATGTATCCTCTGGCGTGCAAACATTCAGACAGACGGAAGGACAATCAGGTGGCATTTTAAGTACTGGACTCTCTTTGTACATCTGTTTAAACCTTTGAACTGATTGGAGGATTTTGACGAGATTTGATAATATTTGATGAACTCGTATGTGTCATCCATCACTTTTTTTTGTGACTTTGGAATACCTGGAAATGTTTATCTGTTAAAATCTCGAGATGAGGTTCGTTTTATGGACAGTTCTTTCACTGAACTAGATTTGTGTGATGAGAAAGTTTTATGTAAATATGCAATAAATAGCAGTCTGCTTCATTTTCGCTCTCGCCTTCCGTTCATCGCCTGCCGTGGGTTTATTACGCTTTCCGCTTGTATATTTATCTCTTTAGCTGCTCGCCGAGAGATGTCACCCCGAAAGAAGTCCACACACCTGCTCAGAACATTAGGCGAAAAAGAAATGTTTTAAAATGCCTTTGGGGGCGAGTCCATTCGAGGGGTATATGCCCCTTTAAAGTACAGTATCTAGCAGCCGGACGACTGCAGGTGGGCTTGCGTCCCGCAAGTGGGTTTTATTAAATGAAGTGTTACAACTCTGTCAAACATTAAGAGAATAATACTCTAAAACAGTGCCAGTGTGTTATTCTGCCACAGTTGGCAGTTTAACGTTATATGATGTAACCAACTTAGCAGACATTATGTGTATTTGGAATGTTGTAACTAACCCTTTGAAACAGAAGCTTATTTTTAATAATATTTAGCCAGTAGTAAATTGCTTGTCAAAAATTATAGAAAAATCTACAGCAATAATCACTCAATCATAAATATCTTCCCGTAATGCCCATAGTCCCTTACCAACTTCACCATGGTAACGTTATACGATATGATGCTTTCGCGGTGACTAAAGTCAATAAGCCCTGATGATGGGAACAGAGATGGTGCCCGAAACGTTGATGTTTTCCTGTAACCAGTTTACGCAGCCTGAAATATCGTAACAGTAAATGATAACCAATTTTTCCCTTTGCTCAAGGAAGTCTTTGTACCATAGAGTTATTTTTATATTATTTATTATTTAGTGTTCTGTGTGACGACAGGTCCATATGAACAGGATCCTTCGATCCTTTTCTCGGACTGGGACCTGTTCATATACGTTCTTGGCAGATGATCCAGAAGTGGTTTGCCATTGCCTTCTTCTGTGTGTGAATGGAGTAAGAGTTATATGGTTAATTAATTCGGTTATTGTCAGTGGTATTTCGACTGGATCCGCCACTGTAGCTACTAAAGTCTGCCGTACGTCTCCTGCGAATGCGGACAATGACTGCATAGCCAGACTTGCTCGCTGTATCTCTCTTACCATCCCAGAATTACTCATGCATGTCTTTGAATTGAAACAAACCCTGACAGCACAATTATCTGTGGTCCTCTCTGTGGTAGAGCTCCTTGTCTCAGAGCGTCCCCAGGAGACGAATGCTTGCTTGTCAGTGTCAGAATTACCTAGTTTTAACCTGCGTTTCGTATTTCATAGTGAACCCAGTCATGTTTTATCTTTTGTTTCTGTCTTGTGGGATTGTACAGATGGTTCACAGGCCCTAAACGATTTGGTAATTAATTAAAAATAATTAATTTAATTGAAGTAGTGTGTGCCTTTCTCTTCAGACGCTGAAAGTCGCTCAGCTAACCAATAAGTATTTAATGTATTATGAAATCCAGCACATGAATATGTCCTGAACCAACTTAATCCAATCATTTGGTTTATTATTGCCAAATTCGGTGATACTGTGATAATCCCCCGAATATGTCTGGTTTCTGTTCATTTAAAACTTTTATTCAGAGGGAGATGATTTGGTCGAAATGTGACATGCTCTTCAAGAAAACAAATGAAGGAATAAAAGTCAAGCGGGAAGGAAAGGGTAAGTTTATTTGTGCTGTTTCAGTTTTTCTCCGTATGAACGCTGGGACAGAAGAGACTGCGAATTGATTGCTGTCTCCCCCTGTACTTACCACTCTGACATCGTATTCAGCTCGTTACGAAATAGCCCACAGTAGCACCTGCAAATCGCAATGAACTAATCCGGAAGCTGTCCCTGCCAGGTGGAAAATGGCG